TCTCTCTATTTCTCTCTGTCTTTCTGGTGAGCTCATGTGCCCTATAGCAAAAACCTCTCTAAATATTAATACTTTTGCTACATTGAATTATATTACTCTTCAAAAGTGTACAAGAGCAATATGTGATTTAGTTAAAAACACAAGTGAAATACATGATATTATTAATAAGGAAAAGGAGGAGCTGGTTGGTGGCACAGTGGTAAATCACCAGGTTCTGTGAGAAGGACCCACAGGAAGGTTCTGGGTTTGCATCCAGAAACCTCCCTGAGTAGAATGGGCAAATAAAAGCCCACAGTCTGGAGTACTTGAAGCTGGGGGTGGACTGTGATGTCAAGAACCTTTTGAGGGTGCCTGTCTTTCTCTTTTTTTCACTTTCTCTCTCATAAGTGGAAAAAATTAATAAATAAAAATTTCAAAAAAAGAAAGACAAAAGAAATCTGAGACATGAAACAAAAAATTATTTAAACTTTGGAAGAGAAATTTAATCTATTCAGTTTTAAAAATTGCTGTGAACGACATAGGTGGCAGGTTAGAGTGCGAGTGCAGGGTTGACGTCCTGGTGCTGAGGAAGGTCCCCCGTGGTCACTGACCTCCATGTACCATCCTATTCAGAGCTGATGCCCCAGTTTTCACTCCTAGGTCAGAATACTTTAGGTCCTTTTACATTAAGCTATTGGGTTGTCAGAAATATCATGATATGTTTTTGCATAGAAAAATCTTAGCGGGGCTGGTAGGTGGTTGGTGGTTAAGGGCACTGGACTCCCACATGGCTGACCACAGTTTGAGTCTTGGACCAGGAGGCTTGCTTTCTCACTACACACACACACACACACACACTCTGTCCCTCTCTGGTCAAATTTTAAATAAATAAATAAATAAAGTTAAAGAAAAAATAAATCTTTAAAAAAATCACCATAGAAATGAAAATGTCTACAAATAGAAAAATGGATAACAATTATTACATTTTAATAAAATTAACATGTATAATGTATATTTATATTATGTATCCATAAAACATCTCATATCCTCTTGTATTTACTTTATTGTTAGGGTTTTTGCCACAGGACTTGTACGCTTGCCAGAGAGACAATGAGAGGGAAAGTGAGAAGTCACCTACCAAAGGACATGGCCATGCCACTATCCTTTCTCCTCCATTCTCCTCCTGGGATGTTAACAAAGCACACACATGCACTTTGTGCAATTTCTAAGCCTCCGATCTGGAACTTGAACTGCTATGGACCATGTGAGAGTGCAGAAACTTAACTACCATACCACAGGCTGGTCCACTCTTTCATTCTCTTAAATTATATACATGTATTCTTTGACAAGATGAAATATAAATATATTTAAAAGTCAAAGCAAATACATGATTTAAAAAGTATATTGTACAATCATGTGTGCTAAAAATTAACAGGCACCATGAGCACAGTGATGTGGAATTACACACACACACACAACTGGAAAGAGGTGAATTAAACTATCAACACTTAGGTTGTGGAATAATTTGAAGGAGAGGCAATGTTAAATTTCAGTCTTGGGACTAGCAGTTGGCTATGTGGCTGGCTTCCTATGTAGTCAACTGAGATTCGAGTCCTAGACCTGGTGGCTTAAACTCACGCCTTTCTTGATTGTGACATTTTTATTAAAGTTAAAACTTTATATTTTTGTTAAATAGTAAATTCTTGGTTCCTTAGCGTCAACATACATTCATAAAACTACAAGATAAGAAATATCATAATTTCCAATACCATGCTAGATAACACTTCCTGCCTCCCTCCTCCCCTGCCTTCTTCACTCCTTTTCTTTCTTCATTTTTTCTTTCTTGCTTTCTCTCTTTCCATCTCTTTTTTTCAAACTTTCCTTTCTTTGCTCTTAGGGTGTACAGTGGAAAACTATTTTAAAAATTATTTGAATTTTTGACTCTCAATTTGTTTATTTAATCTTTAATTTATAATTTCTATTTTTATATTTTACCAACTATTTTTTAAAATTTTTAATTATGATTTGTTTTGTGTGGATAAAACATTTTCATGGGTCAAAAGTAAAAATTATAACAGAAAATGTACTAGGAGTGCTAGCCTCCATCCAAGATTTCCCTTCCATTTTTTCTCCCTCATCCTAGAGGCAACAATTACTTCTATTAGATGTTCTAACTTTCCTTGTTTCTTTGGAGGTGGGAGCTGAAGTATGCAGTTGACAAATAAAAAATAGAATGCTCAGGTGAATGTGAAATTTAGAGAAATGGCGAGTACATTTTCATTTAAGGTATGTACAAATACTGCACACCGTGGCAACCCGTACTTTATCTTCTCCTTCCTTTTTCTTTCTGCCCAGGGTCTCACTCTGTCACCAACTCCTGCCTCAGCCTCCCTAGTAGCTGGGACTATTGGTGCATCTCTATGCCCAGATTTTAGGGTGGACGGGGAATTGAACCCAGGCCTTGCAGGTAACCCCAGTCTCTGGGTAACAGTGTCGACTTCCATGCACTTCCACAGACGGGCCTGTACTGTTTTTCTTTTTATGCCACTCGAAATCTTGTGCGAGGAAATCTCTTCATTGATGATGAACAGAAATCCTCTAACACACTGATTTGTGTACACACACACACACACACACACACACACAGATTTGGCCATTTACTTTGAGAGGAATGAAGTGTGGCCAACAGACCTGATCCTGGTTTCTCTTAATTAAGCAGGTTCAGAGCTTCTGAGATCTGCTGGTGGTGGTCACCTCACTGACTACTGACAGGTGCAAAGGAAGTTGATTCAGGATGAGGACTCAGATGTTTCCTCTCAGAACAAGGCCATGGCAGGGCACTGACAGACTGCAATTCTGAACTCCAGGGAGTAAACTGATGTCGACTGCTCCCTTCACCAGGGACAGGCAGCTGTATCCCTGGTTCTGCTTCCCACCATGTTTGGCCCAATCGCTTCATTTCTGGGCTCTCATGACTGCTGGCTGCTCTTTTGGAAGGACCCTGCTCTCAGCTGCCACAGGAGGGCGCTCCAGCAAGGGTTGGACAGAGTTGCAAGGGCTCCTCCCCGAGGTCCCAGTGCCCACCTCTGCTGGATAAATAGCTTGCTATTCCTCTGAGGTGGATTCTCACTGACTTCTCTCTGTTGTGGCCTTGTCTGGAAGATCAGAAGGCAATTCATTGCCTTCTGCCCTAGGGATTTCTACTTTTGAAGGTGAATTTGAGTTTTGAGAGAAAATTCTACTTCTTTGACATCTGCGCCCTCCCCCCCACACACACACACCTTCTAAGGCTCGGGAAGGGAGGATGCAGTGGGCTTTAGTCCAGCTTCTAGCTTTCCTGGCTTCTGGTAAGTATGTTGTATATAAATATACTTAATGAGTTTTAGTTTTTTCCAATGCAAAAATGTAGTAAGGAATTTCTCAAAATGTTTTGTTGTTTTTCCCACTGTAGCCAGCCAAGTGTCTTCCAACTTGGAAGGGAGAATGACTGTCGCTGGGAGGACTGGGTCAACTGCTGAAATCACTTGTGATTTACAAGTCAGTGCCAGCTACATCCACTGGTACCAATTCCAGGAGGGGAAGGCTCCACGACGACTTCTGATTTTCATGCTGTCTAATTCCAGAAGTGTGGTGGATACAGGAATCAGTCGAGCAAAATACCAAGCTTTTAAACGTGTAGAGAATAACTATGGACTTCTACTAAAAAATCTGGACAAAAGTGACTCTGCCGTGTATTCCTGTGCCATATGGACCGGCACAGTGATTCGGACCTGCCTTGTCCTACACTAAAAATGTTGCTTTTGGCAGTTTCTGGTACACAGGATAGACCAGCCCCATTCCATTTCCTGCCATGACCTCACTGTATGCTGAACAGAGAGAGCACTGGAGCTCAGTGCCTGGCCCTTCCCAGCCCCTTCCTAACATCCCACTACACTCCCTTGTCAACAGCTGCATCCTGCCCTCCGCCACCCCCAGGACTTTCCTTACATGGAGCTGCCTTCTCTAGGCCTTAGCCAAGCAGCCTGGCTGACAGCATAGCTCTCTTTGAGCTCTGCCAGGGGCTTATGAAGAGGTTTACCTGCTTTCTATGACAGAGAAGGTCACCAGGGGTTGATACACTCTGAAAGGACTTAAGAGAGCATTACGGGAAGGGAACTCATACTAAATACTTTATTCAATAATCATCCAGTGATTATGGCTAGGAGTGATAATTATTCGTTCTTTAGGAGTATTGGAAATGTACTTTCTTCAACTCCTTATATCTTTTCCTTTTATGAATGGGGGAAAGGAGGAGGAAAGGGAGAAAAGAGATAGGCATCTTTGACAAGGTCTGGCCATATCACATCAGAACCAAAGCCTGGCCTGCCATGCAGCTTCCAGCCTACATGGTGGCATTGCTGTGCACCACTGCAGCTGGGCCAGTCTCCTCTCAGCAAAATATATTTCTTAGATTTTTGCCATAAGGGGTGCGTGTGCTCATGGAGAGACAGAGCAAGTGAGAAATAACCCCCTTGGGAATAGCCACTCCTTTATCCATTCTCTCCTCAGGACTTTTGGGTATGCACACACATGCACCAGCATGATTTTCATGCTGCTGGGTTTAGAATTTGGATTGTGAACTTGGCCATGTTGGATCCAGTGCTTTAACCTCCACACTCTTGCTAGCCTGTTATGCCATTTATTTTTAAGAAGGAGTCTCACTATGGAACCACCTCCTGTCTCAGACTCCAAGGTGTTGTAATAAAGGCATGTACCACCATGCCCAGCATTAGAGTCATTTTTAGAATAATGTCTTTGTCTTTGATTTTTGCCAATTTGGTTATGATGTGGCTTAGAGAAGATCTTCTTGTTATACCTATTTAGTGTCTTTTGTATTTCCTGCATATGGATGTCAATAGTCTCTCCTTATTTGGAAAAATTATCAGCTAATATATTGTGAAAATTTTCTATGCCTTTACCCATCTCTCCACCTTCTGGAATACCTGTTATGTGGAGAGTCAACTGTTCAAGAGTGTCTCGGATTTCCCAGATGTTGTCTCCTTTTTTA